GGCCACTGCCTCCCACCATACAAACTGGTTTTGCAAAACAGTCAACATGTACCAGGAATTAGCAATGAAAAGACCCATTTAGTCCATCATGGGGTGGGGGTAGTGCAGGTTACTCCCCTTCCCAGTGTTTACTCCACTTTCCAGTGTTTATACAGCAGCTGTAAGTGAACACCCAAACACACAATCTTAGTTGTGTTAGACGACTTACTGTGAAATGTGCAGTACTTTCTTCAGATGGCAGCTCAGTGCTGAAATGCCTAAAGGCTGCAGCCATTTAATAGTTTGGGAGCCACAAGGCTCTACACACACTATATCGCGTCATTTAGCATACTTAAAGGAACCTTTAGGCAAAAATGTAAGAGGCCTAAGAATGGTTTCTTGTCAGTGATATCCATGGGTCTAGATCAAGCTGTTTGTGCATTTCATTATAAAATGTCCCTAGCTTTGTGGGTCATAACCTGTATGATTTGGCCTTGCCAAGCAAAGCCTGCACCTCTAACGGGCACGTTACTCCCTCCGTGCACTGCATTTTGTGTCATAAGAAAACTGATCTGTTATCTACTGCTGCGAGTCCTTTCCTAGATAATTACCTTGATCTACACATGAAGCACAAAGGAAAGTCTCAACAGCTGAACAATAATTTGGCAAAATCTCATTATCAACAGGCCTCTGGAGAATTTAAAATGTCCTAAAAATTAGAGGACATAGTTATCACTCTAAAAACACAAAGACCCATCACATAAGATGGGTTAATTAATCCAGTCTTTGACAGCTGCATGTTTGGCTTCTCATTTTTGGAAGGGCTTTCACTTAAACCTGGCAGTTCCAGTGCATGTTGCAAACTAAAATTTTGAAGCAATGTCTTTGGTAGAATATAGGATGTCAGTGAAACAAAGACACTGTGGATCAACAAGGACACCCTGGAAAGCAGAAATGTAAGGGAAATCAGAAAGCATAGCCAGCAGCGTGGGTACAGAGTCTCCTACTCGGAGATCAGGCTTTGGAATTGATTTATGGGTGTGAATGAATTTTTTGGCTACAAAAAAAGTGGTGAATAGGTGGCTTGCCCTGCAGTCTGCATTATTCTTGGAACCAATTACACATAATTCACTGCACATCCTCTTTGAAATGCATTCAAGGATCTGGAAAGA